AAGCTTTTTATGACCCAACTGTATGGACGTTGTATCGTGTGCGTCTTCGCTGGTGTGGTTATTGCAACGTCACATCAAAACCTGATAAATGAATAGAGTACAAAAACTATAACATTTGTAAAGATTCATAAAACACAACTAAAATACTGGAATCATATATGTTGCACATGAATTGCAATTGTAATCAGCGCCCGCTTGACAACAATTCATTTATGCAAATGCCCTCAGACTCTTATAATTCGTTGAAATAGTAAACTTCTAAAGAGGTCAAAATAGCTGATTGTATATGGGCGTTTAGTCATGGACAAGCTATCTAATGCTCATTGTCTCGGTCAGGGGTGTAACCGGTATTAAAAATGCAATACCGGTACCGGTCATCGGTATACAAACCTCGTACCACAATAAATGAATGCACGCCGGCTAGTGCACCATTTGCTAGCCTCTACAGATTTTATTCGAAAGAATAAAATCACACAAAACGTCAAAACAAAAACAACTGACTCGGTGTGTACAAACAGACATTCTATATAGACGAAGAAAGAATGTTTACTCAATCAGAACTGAGTCAACATTCTTTGTGATAATGAGAAATGGAAAAGAGGAAGAGGAAGGAATGTCAGTGACGACTGACATAACACGATCTCGAAATCACTTGCTATAGCATCATTTTCTGAACCTACAAAGGTGCTTTTGATGTATTTTCCACGCGAACAGTGGACGCTTGAAAAACAAGGGAGTTCTTGTGCAATGTGCAGCATAATGGAGTTGTAGACTAGTATCTCTACTTTATATAACTGATACAATTTGTTTACTTACGTCGTTCCTACTCCTGTAAAATAACTATTTTCGAAGTTATCGCCATATTACCGGAAACTGAACTATTTGTGACTGACGAAAGTAGATCTATTTAAAAGTAAAACAGGATGCTTGTATTTAGTTTTCTTTAGATGTTTCAGAAGCGTTTTCAACCCTCTTAAGAATAAGAATTCTCCTGTAAGAATAAAATAAAAACAATGTATTAAGCAGAAATGGGACGTACTGTAAAACTAGTGTTTTGCACGTCACGTTCACAACGAAATTTCGGAAAAAAGAGCTTTTCTCCTTCATTAGACACTGTAATAATCTGGCATTTATTGTGTAAAATTCAAATGTTGTCTATCACTGCTTGATAGATAAAGCGAAAAGCATCCATAACATGGCATGAGACTTGTTGCAAATACACAATGCGAGAAAAGCTGCTATGAAAGTATTAGTATCACGTAAAGATGAATTATTGAGTCTACACCATGTTGCAACGACAATGTCATCATTTATTTGGAAACTGGAAACTGTTCCCGATTTAGTTTTAGTGTTAAGTGAGCCCGATCTATGCAATGGAATAAACAAGCTATGGGGCTTCAAAAGCACTGATCTACCGGGGAAACAACTGTTCTCCGACACAGCCTTCAGTACCGGTGATTATTTCGTTAGTCCTCTGTTGACAAAAATAAATTGTTTTGATGAGGAACCTACGATTCCCTTTTCTATTTTAATTCATCGAAATCAAACAACGGAATCTCACACAACACACTTTTCAACAATGACATTAAATAAAAAACCATTGTTAAAAAAACTTGTGGACGGCAATATTTTTATCACACATGATCGTGAAGATGCAGTTACGAACAGGATGTCACTCGTTTTTCCTGAATGGACTCAATTTTCAGATTATGTGCATTTCAATGCTTTCAGAAAAGAGACTTGAAGATCCATTGTTGAAAAGAACAAGTTGGCAAAGATTTACGTAAACGAATTTTTAAATACTATAGAAACCCTGCAGTTGTCAGAAACATTAGAGCAATTTATTGATACATTTGTTGAATTATTGAAAATATGTCCAGAGGATCGATTAATATATATTGATAATAATTTGAAAGTGTTGATAAATATAACTGTATTTACTCTGCGATCACATGGTTATTTGTACTCATATGTAATTCCTTATAGTAATTGATATGAAGGTTTTAATTTTATGTTAAAACAGTTGAATGAATGGAAAAAAAGATCTGTCGATGCGGTTGTTTTATCATTTCATCGTCTTCTGGCTCATTTTCTAACTGATATTCGCCGAAGTTGTGCCGGTCTTGGAAAATACCATTTGAAATCAATGGCCACCCGTTATGCATTAGATACAGATGATATAGAAGATGAGCCCAAAATATCCATGAATGATATCGCTAAAGAATCACAGACTGATTTATATTTAATCAATGATGATAATGCTAATAACAGTAGTATTTTACCAAATAATGATACAGATGTAACAATTGATACTGAAGCTGCTAGTAATCTGATAGATGAAAACGCTGCAACATCGCTTCCTTTCCACAGTCCGCCTACTAAATCATCAGTTACTATAGACAGCACAAAGCCAAATGTTCCACTGAAGTCTACTCGCCGTATTTTAGCTGAGTAAAAAGGTTCGCATTCATCCTGTGCACTGCACAGGATGCATTTACCACCTTATTTTCATCAAATTTGGTTCAGCGCACCTAATAAAAGCACCTAATTCTCTAATGGTTTGCAAACTCCATTGGACTATTTACTCAATGTATTGGACTCGCATTGGTCTGGACTGCTTTTCTAGAGTCCATGGACTAGACTGAACTTAAAAAGCTGTTTTTCATGGATTCGAACTAGACTCAAAAATTTGAGTCCACTACTCACAGGTCATCTTATTCGTTACTACACTCACTTTACA